CCTGCCCCCCATAACACCTATCCCAACCCCACAGGCCACTACAAATAATAAGGGGCTTCCTCATGTGGCAGCAGAATATCCATACTCAATACTTTCTCCTCACCTCTCCCTTGATTGTTCTACAGGTGTGATGTGGAGAGCATGGCCTGCGGTTTCATGCCATTCCAAAGAATTAGCTGTCCATAATCCCTTGCCCCACACTCCTCCAATGTAAGAAAACATATCTTGAAGCAAAAGCACAAGTGACGGCACCAAGATGACACTGCATCCGTGCACTCTGCTTTATATTAACAAGCACATAATTCTAAATTTCAGTGCTGCAACTCTTAGCAGTAAAGCAACTGTCGTTATATTCATGTAAAACTGCATGGCTGAGAAGCGAGGCTTTGGAGGGAAGTGGGTGGAGGAGAAGTGGGAATGGAGGAAAGGATGGCATATCCATGCGAGAACTGAGTATCAACCCTTTGCACCTGAGAAATTTGGCCACAGCCACCTACCCATAAGCCCCAAGGTTCCAAACAGTCCTGCACTTCCTGTAACATGGAGAGGGAGTTCAGCATCCTCCCTTAGATCTGGAGTTGGGTTCAACTCCCTTAGACAGAACCATGAGGACTTCAACATCTACTGCAAATAAACTAACAAGCAGGAGCCCTTTGACAACACTGCACATAAGAAGGAAAGGGCTGTGGTAGTTAGCATTACATTTATAAAACTATGAACTTCCTATACAAGAGCACTTAAATCTCCTAACCTCTACCCTATAATGGACCTGCCTCCAATTTCTCTTCACACAGAACAGTTCAAATTGTTTTAGATCATCAGAACTTAGGTTAGTGAAATTCTAAATATCTAAATACCCCTGAAAGAATTACTTTGGTAGATGCAATCTCTGATTATTGTGGATAAGAAACCATAATCAAATGTCCCTTATTTCTTTTGTATTTCTTTCTTCCATATAGAAAAAGTTTCCATGATTTTTCCTCTAAAAGGAAATTAAGTTATGGTAAATGGTGAAAACCCTAAACAGCTCAAAAACCATCTCTAGGAAAAAGAAATAAATTCTTAGTTAAGAATAAAAATTCTGGCCAGGTGCAGTTGCTCACATCTGCAATCATGCCACTCCAAAGAGTTAGATGTCCGTAATCCCTTGCCCCACCTGCCTGATTTTAAGAATACACATCATGAAGCTAAAGTCCAAGTGACAGCACCAAGATAACACTGCACTTTGGGAGGCTGAGGTGGGAGGATCACTTGAGCCCAGGAGTTCAGGCCCAGCCTGGGCAATATAGGGAGACTCCATCTCTACAAAAAACTACAAAAATTAGCCAGGCATGGTGACGCACACCTGTAGTCCCAACTACTAGGAAGGCTGAGGTGGTAGGATCGACTGAGCCCAGGAGATCAAGGCTGCAGTGAGCCAGGGTCACACCACTCCACTCCAGTCTAAGTGACAGAGTGAGACCCTGCCTCAAAATAATAATAATAATAAATCACATTCTTAATCATCTTATAAAAACCAGTCATTTTTTCACCTAGCATGTGTGAAGTAGGATCTTCCTATAATACTAAATCACAGATCAGTGATCTTTTAAGAAGGTAGTGAACATAAAGTTAAGATCTGAGACTTCGGCAGGAAATAGACCAATGCCTTAAAACCCAGCTCTGCTGCTTACCAACTGTGTGAACTTGGACAAATTGCTTATTCTCTCTATGTATATGCTTCATCTGTAAAATAAGGAAAGCTCTAGTACCCACCTCAGATGACTGATGGAATCACTAAATAAGATAATGTACACAAAGCACTAAGCACAATGCCTTGCACACAGTAGGCCCTCAACAGGTATCTACTGGTACCACTAGCAGCATAATAGAAACAACAGCAATAGCAGAAGTTAGATTGCTCCTCAAACTTTATTTCGCTTAGATCCACTCTGGACAAATATAAAAACCCCACTGGTAGTTATCCACCATATATCTGTCTCTCCTCCCTTTCCTGGACAGAAGAGAGGACTCCACCTCCCGCCCCCCCTCGATTATGTCACTTTCAGCTCAAAGAATTAAAGAAACAATGTGCCACCTCCAGTCACTCTCTTCCCCTGCTGTAGCAACCCTTGAAGCCACACATTGAGATACAGAAATCCTGGATCCTGAGTCACTGCATGGAAAAGACCTGTCCTATAGAGTCACTTGACCTGCTTCATACTTTAGGCAAATAAGAAATAAATCTCTAATATGTTAATCCACTGAGATTTGAAATTTGTTGGTTACTGCAGCAAAACGTACCCTATCCTGACCAACAGGTACTTCTATACTTCTAAAAGGGATCCTAATATACTCCCAAAAAGGGAATACAGTTTTTTTTAATAACTTGCTTTTTGTCAATCTTTATATTTTTTACTTTGTAACACATCATATTTCAAGTAAATAAACTTTTCAAAATCTCCATCCTTCTTCCTCATTTTATATTTTTTAATCTAAAAGAGAAAATTACATTTTACTGGTATTAAATATACAGATTAATACCAGAGCTTTCACTGAGTCATATGTCACACAGTCACATTTCACCTACAATACCCAAGGTATCCTGTGATCACAGTACAGAGCAGAACAAGGAAGGGATAATGGAAGTGCCTCAAGCATTCACACACTTCTGGCGTATGGCAACATGAGACAGTTAAGTGGAATTATGAATATCACCTACTCTAAACTGAACTAACCCTCATGAAATGGACAAGTGGTTCAAAATGTTTTTAATAAAAGTGAAAAAGGTTTTACATGTCACTAAAGTGTATCTCTATGTATTATTCTGCTCTATCTCATCCACATTTAACTCTTTGTGAATGTCATAGAAGACACATAATATGTTGGCAGCATAATGCATCCTGTAATTTATAAATAAATATATGTGCATAATTGGGGTCTGTGCTCAAAGACAAATTTAACGGAAGAAGCATGAGATAAATCACTTTGGAACTAACAGTTGAGAGAAGAGCTTTCAAACTTTTTGTCCCTACTTGCACCGTTTCTAAACTGCTTTAACAATTTTCAAAAAAACACTAAAATGAAGAGAAAACCAGTACAAAACTGGGGGAAAATGTGCACTGTAGAAACAGGTTCATAAAGACTTCATGAATCAGCAAAACCAGAAAGAAGCAAAAATGATACTGAAGAGCATCATTTCAGAGTAAAGAACAAAGCTTTCAGTTCTAACTATAAAGTTACATTTCTCCATCTGAAAACCAGCCTTGGCTCTGTCAGATAATCAAAAGGATAAAGCGATTGTTTTCTACACATAGAAGGAAAACAAAAGACAGATTTTCATATAGATCACAAATACTTCTACAGGTGCTTAAACTCCAAAGAAGTGGTAGCCAGGGAAACAGGAGGATCAGCAGATGACTCCAAGTAAGGCAGAGCACTTCATTAGACCAACATCAAGGCCAGTTATTGGAAAATCACTTGTTCAGTCAACTTAGAGTTGTTCAATTTCCTTCAGAAAGTTAAATAATATCTGGGAGTTTTTGAGCCATGTGGTAGCACACTCGTTATGCCCCAGCTCTTAGCACTTCTATAAGGACCAGTAACAGATGAAGCTGGGGCCAAGCATGCAATCCCAGAACTGTGGGATTTCTCCTTGAAGCCAGGAGTTCAAGACCAGCCTTGGCAAAATAGCAAGACCTTGTCTCTACAAAAAAAAAAAAAAAGGTTTTAATTGTCAGACTGCAGTGACATGTGCCTGTAGTCCCAGCTACTCAGAAGGCTGAGGTGTGGAGGATCACTTGAGCCCAGGAGGTCAAGGCTGCAGTGAGCTATGATTATGTCACTACACTCTAGCCTGAGCAAAGAGCAAGACCCCGTCTCAATGGAAAAGAGAGAGAGAGAGAGAGGTGAAGCTGGAATTTAAACCCAGGTATGTCTGATTCCAAAGCTCTTATAAAAATAGCAGCATTCTAGGAAATAGAGTAAGCATTTAAAAAGAAAATAGCAGCAAATAAAACAGGCCTCACAGAAAAGGTAGGATTTGAAAATGAAGGCTGGCTGGGATTGAACGAAGATAGCAGGAAACAGGGGTGCTGAGAAGGCCCCCAGTGGAAGGGAGCAGCAAGAGCAAGGGAATGGCAGTGCAAAACCTTGGGTGTGTGCAGGAATTACAAAGCAGTAGTGCAGAAAGCACAGATGTGGAGGGAGGTGGCAGAAGACAAGGCTGGAAAGGTTGGCCCAGGCCTTCTAGTACCAGTGCTATGAGCTCAGTCAAGAAGGTAGACTGTATCCTGGAGGCAATGAGTAAACACTGAGGGCTTTAAAGCAAGGAAATAGCATAAATGCAGGCAGATACCAGGAACCTGTTCTTCTGTGGCATGAAAGATGGATCAAAGAAAAGTATGAAGGTGATTTGCACATAGTAGATAGTTAATTAATGCTGAATGTATGAAGGCAAAACACCAAGTTAAACTTCATTGTGTATCTCTAACATAACAACCCATTTTATCCAATCCCATTTCATATTGTTCAATTTGCTACTTAGATAACAAATTTCACTCATTCTAGAAGGAAATAATGGTGTTGGTGCTTCAAAATAAAAATTGATTCACCAGTCAAATGTGGCCCTCTAAATGTTCCTGTTAAAGTGTTTATTCTTGCAGAAATTAACATTTTCTTCTTCTATTCAAAAGGAGGCACATCTGAACAGCTGTTGGAACTGCTGAGAAAGAAAACAAAGTTAACCAAGTACAAAAGTTAGGCAATGAGGAGTGATTCTCCCCACCCCACCCCTTTCTCCTTCTGCAACCACATGAAAAGGTTATTGGAAAATAAGGAAATCACAAGCTGTAAAAGTATGTTTCCTATGCTCTCTCATAGTGTCCAAGTCAAACACATACTAAGCCATAACCTTCTTGATGACGCCAAATTTTCTTCTGCACAGGTCGTGGTACCTGCAAAGCACCAACTACTCAGTGAGAAGCCAAAGCTGAAAAACACTGAGATGAGTCATGACCTACCTGATTTTCTTCATGGGAAACCCTCATCTGCTCCTTGAGGACAGACATCCGTGCTGCCTCTTCTTTCCTCAAGACTCTCTCCTTCTTAAGCTCAGGGCTCCAGAAGGTCTTAATACTGTTCATGGAAGATCCCAACTTGCTGTCCTTGATGTCGAGCTCTTTCCGGAGGAGGTCATTCTCTCTCTGCAGTTCCTTCAGCTGGGCCTGAAGATCTAACATTGTGCTGTCTCTTACCTGCCTCAACATGGAGGGGACCTGGTGGTGATGATGATGGGATGAACCAGTCAGACCACCATGTTGATCTGTGTATGAAAGGACATCTGTGTGGGAAAGTCCAGCAGAAGCAATATTGGGACTACTCCCCATGGCTGTGACACGGCCTCCATATACAGCTCGATTTGTAGCCCTTCCCAGAGTCATGGTGCCCTTTGGGTAAGTTGTTGAAGCCACTCCTTCATGATCACTCAGATACATGGGTCCAGACGTAGCATAGGCTGCATTGAGGGACTGGATATTCTCCATAGACAGAGTCTTGCCTGCTCCTCCACCTCCCCCACTACTTGTTCTTCGGTGGCCCAAACGAGGAGACCTTGGCAAACGAGGGGATCTGGAAGGGCTACCTTCCAGATTGGTGATTGTTCTTGCACTTCCATACATTTTTCTTCTATTATGAGGTTGTTACTGAAGAGAAGAAATGCGATACTAAGTTGGGATTTGAGCTAATATTTCCACAATTGTCCAGAATTTTCACTGCACCAGAAAATAACTCCACTCAGAGACCTGCAAAGTGAGAAAAAGAATAATTAAAAACAAATTTCTTTACAACTCTAACTGCATTATATTTTTAAATATATACTGACAGATGAACCTACATAGGTAGGTGATTAATAATAGAAAGGGTCACAGCTATAATGTTCATTTACAAAGAAAAGTGACTCTCAAACTTTACTACTACATGTGAAAGTTTTACAAATTCCCTCACCCTGCCCCTAAGCAAGATAAAAATTCTCAAAGTGAAAAATAAGGTCTATTCCTTGGGAAAATGAAGATCTCCATATTGGTTTGTGCTAAGGTTAGAGTTGGAACCTCCAGAAAATTCCCCATGGAAGACCTTAGCTATAAAGTGGTCCCTCCTTCGATGTATAACCCCCATAGGCATGTGGTTTGAAAGTCACTCTGAGAAGCTGCTGCTTCCTCAGATGTCAAATATTTGGCTTGCATGTTGTTACCTTCAGCTCCTATACTCATTACAGACCTCATTAATCCACAACAGTCCTCTTTTCCACTAGGTTCGGAATTTTTCTCAACACAACACTCTAGACAGCTTACCACTAATCAACTGGCATTGACAAATGAATTGAAACCTCCTGGCTATCCTGGAGCTAGAAGAAAAAGAGGTAGGTCAACCAATGGGATGCCTAAACACATAGCCAGATCATCAGTGCTATTACCAGAGAAAACAACAGTCCTATCTCTTTCCCCTTTCACACACATCTTTCAGGCTGGCCTCTTGAGAATTATTTCCCATTTTGGTTGACCTTAATATTCCTATTAACAACTTCATATCCATACAGAAATGGCACAGAAGAGGTTCTCATCATGATTACTTAAGTATATTGGTGAAGATTTTATGTAGCTGGGGCTACAGCACTGTAAGTATCCCTTCAATTTTAGCATTCATATGGCCCTAATGGGGCTCATTATGGCCTCCTGTTCTTCCTCTTAGGACGTCTTTAGTGTGTTTTCTTTTTCTTTAGCTTTACAATAAGAGAACAGATTCGATAATGGCAAGCTGAGGTTCAAATCTCCATGCTAATACAAACTAGCTGAGTAACCTTAGACAAATTTACCTTGTTATGAGCTTCTATTCTGCAATCAACAAAATGCAGGTAATACCTCCTAACTCGTAGTATTTTAAGAAATAAGAAGTTTGATGCCAAGAAGCAAATAGTCAATAAATAGACTTTGAAGGTAAGTGTCTCAATGAGATAAGTACATTAATAGCAATATACAGGGGCATCTTTTATTTTCACCTGCCTATCATTCATCCCTTTCTACTCTCCCAAATGCACACTTTCTGGTAATACTGTCGCTATTTTCCTTACAGAAATTGTTCCCAACTCCCTACTCACAGTTCATCAGGTTTAGGTAAGGTTGACTCCCTTCACTCCACCATCCTGGATGGTGCAAGGGGTGAGAACATGACCCAAGCCTGCCCAAGCATCATATTCTGTCCTCCAGACATGGTAGGAGTGATGGGCATGTGACCCACATTGGTCCAACAAGACTCGATACTGTAACTCTGGTTGGAACAGCTGGGAAAGATAAGCTCTTCTTCAGCTGGAATTCCTTACTTTCAAGATAGAGCTGTAAGTACTACAATGTGGAAAGGGCCTCCCTGAGGGTGAAGACAGTACAAAAGAACTAGAGTTAAACTTCAAAGAGTGCGAAACCAAACCAGATGACATCACTTAATACTCCAGATCCAGTAGTCATAGAAGTTAACATTATCTATCATCTATACATCTGTTCCCAGTCCATTTTAGCTACATATACCAGGTGACTGATTGCATTAATGGTACCAATTCTTTACTCTTGCTCTTTTTCTTATTGTACTTTAGATTCTGGGGTACATGTGCAGATCATGCAGGATTGTTGCATAGGTGCATACATGGCAAGATGGTTTGCTGCCTCCATCTCCCTGTCATCTATAACTGGCATTTCTCCCCATGTTATCCCTCCCCAACCTCCCTACCCTTCACTGTCCCTACCCTAATCCCCCACAATAGACCTCAGTGTGTAGTGTTCCCCTCCCTGTGTCCATGTGTTCTCATTGTTTAACACCCGCCTATGAGTGAGAACATGCGGTGTTTGATTTTCTGTTCTTGTGTCAGTTTGCTGAGAATGACGGTTTCCAGGTTCATTCACATCCCTACAAAGGACACGAACTCATCATTTTTTATGGCTGCATAGTATTCCATGGTGTATATGTTTCACATTTTCCTTGTCCATTCTATCATCGATGGGCATTTGGGTTGGTTCCAGGTCTTTGCTATTGTAAACAGTGCCTCAATGAACATACATGGGCACTTGTGTTTATAATAGAATGATTTATAATCCTTTGGATATATAACCAGTAATGGGATTGCTGGGTCAAATGGAATTTCTATGTCTAGGTCCCTGAGGAATCATCACACTGTCTTCCACAATAGTTGAACTAATTTACACACCCACCAACAGTGTAAAAGTGTTCCTCTTTCTCCACATCCTCTCCATCTGTTGTCTCCAGATTTTTTAATGATCACCATTCTAACTGGCGTGAGATGGTATCTCAATGTAGTTTTGATTTGCATTTCTCTAATGACCAGTGATGATGAACATTTTTCATGTTTGTTGGCCTCATATATGTCTTCTTTTGAAAAGTGTCTGTTCATATCCTTTGCCCACTTTTGAATGGGTTTGTTTCTTGTAAACATGTTTTAGTTCTTTATAGATTCTGGATATTAGCCCTGTGTCAGATGGGTAGATTGCAAAAATTTTTTCCCATTCTGCTGGTTGCCCGTTCACTCTAATGATTGTTTCATTTGCTGTACAGAAGCTCTGGAATTTAATTAAATCCCATGTCTATTTTGGCTTTTGTTGCCAATGCTTTTTGGCCTTTTAGTCATGAAGTCCTTGCCTATGCCTATGTCCTATGTGTATCCTTGCATGTGAGATGGGTTTCCTGAATACAGCACAATGGGTTTTGACTTTTTATCCAATTTGCAAGTCCGTGTCTTTTGATTAGGGCACTTAGCCCATTCACATTTAAGGTAAATATTGTTATGTATGAATTTGATCCTGCCATTTTGATGCTAGCTGGTTGTTTTGCCTGTTAGTTGATGCAGTTTCTTCATTGTGTTGATGGTCCTTACCACTTGGTAAGTTTTTGGAGTGGCTGGTACTGGTTGTTCCTTTCTATGTTTAGTGCTCCTTTCAGGAGCTCTTGTAAGGCAGGCCTGGTGATGACAAAATCTCTCAGCAGTTGCTTGTTCATAAAGGATTTTATTTCTCCTTCGTTTATGAAGCTTAGTTTGGCTGGATATGAAATTCTAGATTGAAAGTTCTTTTCTTTAAGGATGTTGAATATTGGCCCCCACTCTCTTCTGGCTTGTAGGGTTTCTGCCGAGAGATCTGCTGTGAGTCTGATGGGCTTCCCTTTGTGGGTAACCCGACCTTTCTCTCTGGCTGCCCTTAGCATATTTTCCTTCATTTCAACCCTGGTGAATCTGAGGATTATGTGCCTTCGGGTTGCTCTTCTTGAGGAATATCTTTGTGGTGTTCTCTGTATTTCCTGGACTTGAATGTTGGCCTGCCTTGCTAGGTTGGGGAAGTTCTCCTGGATAATATCCTGAAGAGTGTTTTCCAGCTTGGATTCATTCTCTCCATCACATTCAGGTACACCTATCAAACGCAGATTAGGTCTTTTCACATAATCCCATATTTCTTGGAGGCTTTGTTCCTTTCTTTTCACTCTTTTTTGTCTTATCTTGCCTTCTCATTTTATTTCATTAAGTTGATCTTTAATCTCCAATATCCTTTCTTCTGCTTGGTCAATTCAGCTATTGAAACTTGTGTATGTTTCACAAAGTTCTCTTGTTGTGTTGTTCGGCTCCATCAAGTCATTTATATTCTTCTCTAAGCTGTTTATTCTCTTTAGCATTTCATCTAATCTTTTTTCAAGGTTCTTAGTTTCTTTGCATTGGGTTAGAACATGTTCTTTTAGCTCAGAGAAGTTTGTTATTACCTACCTTCTGAAGTCTGCTTCTGTCAATTCATCAGACTCATTCTCCATCCAGCTTTGTTCCCTTGCTGGTGAGGAGTTGTGATCCCTTGGAGGAGGAGAGGCGTTCTGGTTTTTGGTGTTTCATCCTTTTTGTGCTAGTTTCTTCCCATCTTTGGGGATTTATCTACCTGTGGTCTTTGTAGTTGGTGACTTTTGAATGGGGTCTCTGAGTGGATGTCCTTTTCATTGATGTTGAAGTTATTTCTTTCTGTTTTTTAGTTTTCCTTCTAACTGTCAGGCCCCTCTGCTATAGAACTGCTGGAGATCCACTCCAAACTCTGCTTACTTGGGGATTACCTGTGGGGGCTTCAGAACAGTAAGGGTTGCTGCTGGTTTCTTCGTTTGTTATATTCATCCCAGAATGGTACCCGTCAGATGTCAGCCTGAGCTCTCCTTTACAAGGTATCTCTTTGGATACACAGGGGTCAGGGAGCTGCTTGAGGAGAAAGTCTGTCACTTATAGAAGCTCATGTGCTGAGCTGGGAGCTCCATTTTTCCATTCAGAGCTACTGGGCAGGTATGTTTAAGTCTGCTGCAGCGGAACTCATAAATGCCTTTTTTCCCAGGTGCTCTGTCCTGGGAAGGTAGGGCTTTATTTTAAGTTCCTGACATGCTGCTGCCTTTTTTCAGAGATGCCCTGCCCAGCAAGGTGGTAGCCTAGTGACAGTCTGCCAGCAGAGGTGTTACTGAGCTGCTGTGGGCTCTGCTAAACTGCTGTGTGAACTTCTTTGTGGCTTTGTTTACAGTGGTAGAGTTAGAACTGCCTTGGTAATGGTGGTCTGCCTCAGCAATGGCGGACTGCCTCTGTAATGACGGACTGCCTCAGTAAAGGTGGATTGCCTCAGTTATGGCAGACTGCCTCAGTAATGGCAGACTGCCTCGGTAGTGGTGGACTGCCTCAGTAATGGCCAATGCCCTTCCCCCCACCAAGCTGAACCGTCCTGGGTCCAGCTGT